ACAATACAGCATGCACCAATCGCATTACAGTTGACGGAGAAGCTTGATGAACACGGTGGATCTGATACAGATGTGAAGGTGCGAATCAGCAAAGCAGTAAGAGTAGCATATTTACAACTGGAGAACATCTGGAACTCGCGACAATGGCCAACCAACAAACAAGACCAGAATTTTCAATACAAATGTCAAGACAGTTAAACGGTATGGGGCGAAAACTTGGAGAACTACGAAAGCCATCATCCAGAAGATACAAGTGTTTATTAACAGTTGTCTACGCAAGATACTTCGGATCTGTTGGCCAGACACTATCAGCAACATTCTACTGTGAAAGAGAACAAACCAGATTTCAGTAGAGGAAGAATTCAGGAAGAAGCGCTGGAAGTGGATGAAACACGCATTGAGGAAAGCACCCAACTGCGTCACATGGCAAGCCCTCACTTGGAATCCTCAAAGCCAAAGGAGAAGAGGAAGACCAAAGAACATAGTACGCCGAGAAATGGAAACAGACATAGGAATGAACAACAATTTGATAGAACGAGAAAGGAAGGCCCAAGAAAGAGTGGATTGAAGAATGTTGGTAGCAGCCTATGCTCTATGGGGGGGGGGTAACAGGCGTAAGTAATTAATTCATTAAAATCATATCCATGCATTATATCACCCAAAATTGTCCGATGAATAATTGAAGCCAGTTCTATTAACGTTTATAACAAAAATAAGTAGGAATGTTAGTAGCTTTAACCTGTAAAGTTTTTTGGCTTTAGTTACGGACTTATTAAGTTACTGCATTACGACAAATATATAAAACAATGAGAAACCATACTGGAAGTCATTTTTCTAAAATAAACATCAATGCCTTAGTACTAAGTACTCGCTAATCACTAAATTTTCAACCTATCCCATCCAGTAATTCCATATAGTTTCAAAGCTTTGTTGTGAAGTACTTCATGTTTACAATAAGAACATTGACTACTAACACACAATAAGAATTATTTTGTGATTTTGCCAAAGTGGTCCCTAATATACTACTCCGTCAGCTTTCATTTACGAGTCAAAACACGGATCAATAAAGTGCGACCTACCTTGGACAAATACGTAGATAGTTCTCATCATGAGAGTAAGAACACGGCTGCACAGAGCAAAATCCAGTCCTGCAGTAACTTTGACAAACCATACGACGACGGAATTTCAAACTGTGCACAGCCTTCTGGACAATTTTCCTGAGGTACTGTCAATACGTAAAGTAGACATACTTGTACTGACATGCAGATGGACGAGGTACATTATGCCGGCTCATTTTCTTAATGGAAAACTTCTTGACAAGCTGCGAGTTATTCTTAGATGCAAGCCTCAAACTAGCTGAACTACCAGGCTTGACATACCTAAATCGACTAGTTTTAGTATGCAATACATTGCTACTGCAAGGTGGTAAACCAACATTATCTTCCCGAACCCGACTTATCACACCACTAGAAATTTCGCTACTAAGTAACTTATCCTTATGCTGTTGGATGCCCGGAACGGGGGTCAACAATTGTTGATCCTCGTGATCGCTTTTCCTAATATAATTGTAGGGTCTATCTCTGCCAATCGTTGTGTTGTATGTTTTACTCCCATTAAATCTAGAATAAATACTAGAGGAACTGTGTTTAAATGAATGTGCACCAGTCAAGCTAGAACAGGTGTATTTATCCCACTTAAAAGAGCTGGATAACGGGCGCCAACACAATGATGAGTTGACTTTGACATACTTATATCTATTCTGGCAATTTGATACCTTTAATTTGTCAGACTGGCCTGCAAACCATTTCAAAGATCTATGGTGTGTGTCCATAATTTGAGCTAATGTCATATGTTACATGGACCGCCACTTTTTGAATGATTCAAACAGTTATCAGTTTCAGTTTGGGAAGGACAGGAGGCTTGATGGCCTGTGTTAGTCCTGGCAATGATGGTCTCTCAGCTGATCTAACTTTCTTTTGAAGGAGTCGACGGATGGAGCCTCAACCACGTGCTGAGGTAATGAATTCCACTCGATGATTATTCGATGGGAAAGTCGGTAGTCAGCTGACAAGTAATTCGTTCTGGGCTTGTGAACTTTTTTGGAGTGTCCTCGTAGATTTTCTGTTTTGGAAGACAAGAAAAATGAGGGCATATCAGGTGCAAATTTGTCATTTAGCAATTTGAAAACTATAATCAAGTCACCTCTGATTCTTCTATATGACAGCGGGAATAGGTTTAGCTTGGTCAGTCTAGTACCATACGGGAGCTTCGCTATTCCGGGAATCAGCCTAGTTGCTGTTCTCTGAACCCTTTCCAAGAGTTCACTGTCTTTTTTTAGGCAGGGGCTAGCTGCTTGTATGCAGTACTCAAGTTTAGGGAGTACGAACACTGTATACATAGTCAGAAACGTTTTAGCGTCAAGATGCCTAAAAGCCCTGTGTATGGACCATAAAGTCCTAAAACCTTTGGCGGCTATTGCACGGCAGTGTGAAGTAGTCTTTAAGTCTTGACTAACGATGACGCCTAAGTCATTGTGTGCCTGGACAATAGGTAACTCAGTGTTATTCATCATGTATGTATCTGTACCCTGATGGCCAATATGCATCACAACACACTTGGAAGTGTTTATCGGCAATTGCCAGGTTTGGGACCATTCAGATAATCTCTCCAGGTCATTTTGAAGTTCTAAGCTATCGCCCTTGCTTTGTATCGCTCTCCGTATTTTGACATCATCAGCATGGAGTAAGACCGATGATGATAGTAGATGAGGGAGGTCATTTACGTACAAGAGGAATAACACTGGCCCCAAAACTGTACCCTGGGGGACTCCATTAAGCACAGTTTCCCAGCTAGACAACTTGGAGTTCACCCTTACTCTTTGTTGACGCCCAACTAGTGAGTCTTATATCCACATCAATAGATTGCCTCCAATCTCGACATTCCTTGGCTTATAAAACAGCCAGTTATGCGGAACTTTGTCGAAAGCTTTGCTGAAATCGATGTAAGCTACGTCTATAGGTAATTTTTGGTCCTTAAGAGCGCACCAGCTTCCACGAGCGACTAATAAGTTTGTGAGACAAGAGTAACCTGTTCTAAAACCATGTTGCTTTTGGGAGAGGATCCGGTTTTCATCGATACTTTAACAGTTCCTTCCGAATAATCTTTTCTAAGATTTTAACAACCACACTAGTTAGGCTAATTGGTCGGTAATTCTCAGGCTTATGTTTTGTACCTGTTTTGAAGACTGGACTTACTATGGCGTTCTTCCAGTCTTTTGGTAGACGACCCTGGGTTACGGATAGATTAAAGCATACATTTAAAGGTTTCGCAACAAAGTTAGCTAATTCCTTTAGTAACCTAGGATGCAGTTCATCGGGTCCAGTGGATTTACCTATGTCAAGCTTAACTAGCAGACCAAAGACATCGAGTTCTTTAATGGTTACGCTGTCCAGGGCTTGTGTGGGGGGATTTTCATGGACTGGTGAGAGCTACATAAAGATTAAAACATTTGTTCAAGAATGAAAAAAGTGAGTGCTTCAGCGGGTTTTATTGGTTGTTTAACATTAGAGCTAGGTCTCGCTACATCTCATATTTGATGCTTCAACTGACTGTACTCAGCTTGGTGATTCCAAGTTCGTCTATCACCGTTTTCATTCATATACACTGTTCCTCATAACAACCACTTTATCATTTATTGTTTGTTCTCCAATCAATCTAACTTAAGTGTTCTGATGACACTTATCTAATTCTGTTCTATGTGGAGTGCTTTTAACTTTGCTTCTGCCTAGACCAAATCTAGAAACACTACAAAACCTCCACTTTCTCCACTATGAGTAAACGAGAACATCATCGAGGAACAGCTTTTGTCAGAGCTGAAAAATCTAGTCATTTTTCTACTTTGTCAGTTAGTAAATTAATCATCTTACTGGGTCTATTAAAATAAATTTTTCGTTGAGAATTTTCATCTTTATAATAGTCAACACCTCGTCCGATAAGTCTGAACACGACACCTGGACTGACACTGCATTGTAGTCTGTGAACTAGAGTAATAAATAATCGATAAAATAGACAGCTGGAGAAGTGTTCGACGATGGCAATGACTATTTCAGTCTTACTGAATGTACCATTAGCTAGGTGAACCTGATCAGGTGTCCACACTATATCGAGTTTGGGGACGTCGTGTAATGAGTGTCCTTGAATATCTAGGTGGTTTAGACATCGTGTACTCCCAAACCTTGACCCATAACCCAAGTATATTGTCAGATCCTATCATCGATAACTTCTATATCTATTGGTTTCTGTGTCACCTTTTGTTTCAGGCTTTACGTTGAGTATGAACGAATGAAGAGATGTGGACAGTGACATTTTCAACTTATGCGTATCCAGTTTCCTCATCAAGACGTATACAATAATAATTCATTCTGAAATAACACGTTACACCAGTAATGTTAGTTTACAGACAAGACAAATATGTTCAAACTGCCACAAGGTTTGCTGTAATAAATCCCTCAGTTTGACAAATGGGTTACAAGAAACAGTAATAATGGGAACGACGAAACATACTTAACAATATTGGAGTATGATTAGTGGTAGCGAAACTGGAATGAATGATCTAACAATTGGCGCGTTTCATGGCAGCTGCATTACGACGAAAATTGGATGTCGATAATTAAGGCAAACCAGTTCCATAGCTATTCAAAGTAAGAAATATTCTGGTGAGCGCATAAATTACAGTAATCCTTTTTTCCTTCTGACCTAAAGACGCCCTAAGCTCCACAGATACCTTATGAGTTGGTGTTTGCAACTGATTAGTTTCTATTTCTCAATATAAAACAGCTTTCTATACAGGTCGCCGTTTTATGAACAATGGTTTCTCGCGTATATCTTAATCACTCAGTGAACTTTGACATATGCCCGAATTGATGCAATTAAGTTGGTTGTAGCAACACGTATTATGATGTATCGTAATGGTAAATAATTCACATTAGTATGATTTTCCAATGGTCCACCATCGTTCAGAGGCATCCACAGGCTTGGTGAGTAATCTGTCTGATTCAAATATAAGTTTAAGACGGACATTAGATCTTATGGAAGAAAATGGTGAAAATTTAAACATTGAGGAAACTCCAAGTCTGAATACTGGCAAAATAAGAGTATAACTTTTTATCGTTAGTAAGAGAATAGAAACTGTGTGTTTCATCATTTAATTATACACATATGGATAGCTACGGAAGTGTGATATATTTGTGATTGATCAATAATTACTTAAGATAGGTGTAGATATTCAGCAGTTACGAAAATGTGCCTCATAGTCGGATAGGCATGGATGAAAGGTCAGATCCCGAGTGTTTGTGTATATGTAAGATGTTTTCAAGGTTCTTTAGGGAGGCGCTGCAGATGGTGTCAAGTCGCGGTTGACTATGATCACCACCACAATAAGATTACGTGCAAGATATCGACTCGGATCCCTCAGTAAGCCAAAAACCAGAAGGCTGATAATGGCTGCAATAAGATATATTCGTTAGTGATCACTCAGTATCGAAAGAATACCGAGACGTGCCAAAGCTTACGGGCAGAACTGCAAAGTATAAGCGAGTTCGCTCAAGGTCAAGGAAAAGTTCTTCTGGTACAGTTAAACTAACAAGTACAGCAAAACAATCACAAGTACAATTTTTTATAATAATAACTGTTTCCTTTACACCAATCGCATTCTCATCATAAAAGTAGGTCATTACAACCTATTTCTGCGATATGGAACAATTTAGATCGTCTTATGTAAAGTTTTGATAATTACATGCCTAATATGCATATTTCATTGAAGTAACTCCGACGATTTCATGTTTTTTCGCTCAATATTCAGTGTTTTGAATTCTCTCCTCTTCATGTTCATCGGGTTAGTCAAACATCAATTCAATACAGAGCAACTTTTAACCAAGCTTCCTTGTCAGTTATCTCAAGCTTCCAACTAAGTTGGTACGTCAAGACACTAACATTCTCTTAAGTGTGACTTAGCGAGAGAATGCACACTGATGCTTACTAGTCGATTATTCAGTACATACTGAAATGTCACCAGACAAAATAAATGTTTTGAATGACAACTGTGAATCCGAAATGTCTGACTATATCACAAAGCATGTTACAGAAATATTCATTAATTTAGTTCATTTCCTAAAATTGACCTACAGTTTTTCTTTCCAGAGAATTCGTGAAACTATAATCTACGTCACTTTCAATCTAATATATCGGTACAGTATAAGAATACTTTAATTCGGTGACCTTGTAATGCCCAATAATAGCGACTTCTGTAAACATCCGTTTAAACAACGAACGTGCTGGGCAACCACAAACACAAAACATATAGCCATGGGACTGTGTTGGGTTTGATGTAAGATGTTGTTGAATGGTTAAATAACAGTGAAATCCGAATATTACAGAAACAATATAAGGTGAACGTATTTTTAAGCTAGGTTGACATACAAGCCCATGCGAAATCTAAAGATAGGAGATGAAAAAGTTAACAAAATATTAAAAAATTTCCAGTATGACTTATAGAACTCCTGTTATGAACAAGGAAGGGATGGTCTAACTGATTCATGATACGTTTCTGTAGTCAGCATAATACATGAAATTTACCAATATGTAAAAATGACAATTAGATCAACTAACAAACATTAAGTCAGCTCTGAATATCTTATGATGTGGAGGTGATTTTCTGTGAAATAATATGCAAAAGCAGTTGTTATAATTGTGTTTTGCTATATAAACGACCCAGCTATTACTATTGCCTTGTATTCTTATGCAATGCACACTCGACAAGACCCCAAAATCAGAACACGTTGAACATGAATGAAATTGTATTCAAAATAATAATGATAAGTGAACAGCAATCAATAGTTTAAATAATGTTCATACATTTATAGTATAGACATAAGAAGCTTATAGATTTGTCTGCAATAATATGCACGGGCTGATCGGTTTAAAATTAACCAATCAGCGTGCAGCAACACCATCATGCATAAAACATGCTTAATCAAATCTATATCCCACTAACACTAGTCTAATCATAAAATGTTGTGTGCCATGGATCATCATAAATAAAATAGGTCATGCAATGAACAGATGAAAATCGCACGATTTTTTTTATCTACCCGCCTATTAGAGAGCAGCGATTTATTGATCGGACCAGTGACACACAAAACTCGTACGAGCAGTCTAGAACACTTGTCGGTCCTGCTTTCTACCTAGTCCAGCCAGTCCAGTCCAGAACATCAATAACAGCCTCTGCAGTATCAATCGTTAATTTCAAGCATACTGGATTAAGATACCAAACAGGAAGACCACATCGTGCCATAAAATGGAAAATAATATTTGTACAATATTCAGCTAAATGTGGCTGTGAATAATGGGAACTGTAATTAATAGACGGCGGACAACTCGGGAATGGTAAATCGTATATTAATAGTCTATGGGTCAAAATAAAGCTTATTATTATTCACAAACATCTTATGGGTACATAAGTGCTGTGAAGAAACCATTTTGGGTTTCTCCAAAAATGCAATAATACGCGATTTTCAATAATGTTAGCATTACATTTACCATGATTGAGAAAGGAAGAAAAAGGATGATAAAATATTAATAATGGAATAGTAATAATAAATCCGGTTCTGCGTAATTGGCAAGAATTTTGAATTGATTTTGAAGGAGGAAAGGAAGAAACTAAGGAAATAGAAATAAAAGAGTCGCGGAATACGTAGATATTTTAACGCAGAACAAGAATAAACAACTATGTATGTATGGCAAAAACGAGTAATAAAAATAAAGCAAAACAGAATAAATCAATCAGCAAATAACTTATTATTGCGGTGATATATGACGTTAGAATAAGCGTTTTGCGTGCAGACATAATTTGGAGTGATGCTATGAAAGTCCAAATTAAGTGCAAAAGATAATCAATATGTATGAGGTGTATATACATAGTGAAGATAAAACGAGTCTGATAAGTTGAATTCGGCGTAACACAAATTAGTGTTTTAATCCACAGCTTCGTAATCTTAAGAACAATATTTATTTAGAAGGAAAAAAAGTGAGAGAAAAGAAATGAACACATAGTGAAAGGGTACAACCATTATCATAATAGTGCATTGGTTATAGACTTTTGAGATAAACGAATAATTTAAAAATAATAATAACAACAATAGTGACAATAATAATAAACCTTTACTGCACTCGGATAAATACGTGTTGATTTATGTGACAGTATACAAAGTGAAAACCGGGTATTAGTATAAACATCAGTGCAATAATAATAATATAGAATGATGCTATCATAGCCACAATTAATTGCAAAGGATAATCAAATATAAATTTCTATATGTTATGTATATGTGTATGGTGAAGATAAGTTGAATCTGAAAAGCTTATTTGTAACATCGAGTTTTTTGTTTGCTTTTAATTATAGACTTTGGATGTTTAGGAATAAAATATGTTTAGAAGGACAAGAAGAGATGAAGAGAATATCTTATGTGTCGAGAGACCAATAATGATAATAATAACAGTAATAATTATGAATACGAACATAAGCAGACTTCATATATTAAGATGAATAGAAATAGAATAGACATGAAAAGTTTCAAAGGTTTCACTTTGCTTTTCAGTCAGTTAGATAGATGACGGACCTTTTTTGTATAAATCATTGTTAAGCACGTTGATATTCAATTGGTGACACAAACCGACATAAACTCCAAATCCGAATCCATTACTCGATAATCAACACCATTTATCTTACTGTGGTTTATTAGAACGTGTTTATATGCAGCTATTCTTTAATTTCATATTCTGTCTCCACCGCAGACCACTTATATTCTACTTTACTTGTTTTCACAATTTATCCTACTATTATGTCCACAGGCGATTAACTGTTTATTACTCAGTTTTCATGACATTTCAAGTCGCCCATACGATCATATTTCTTTATCGTTCAGACAAACACGTCAGAAATGCATATTAATTTTCGTACCCTTGTTAAACTGCTCATAGTCGCATACTGACATTTTATTATTGTCCGCGACTTTACGACATTCATATGTTGTCTTTACACATATATCACACCTTCGTATAATACACTCATCTCTCACGTGACACATCACTCTATTAGATGCAGTATAAATTTTTTCCTTACTTATTGTTAAAGTTAACCTCAAACATCTCCAGTGTCATCTTCGAAAACAGACACGTTTTCAGAACAATGTATTATTTTCTACAAAGAAGCTTTTAAGTAGCTGGTACTGTGTCAAGGACACAAACTATTCTAGCTTCTATACAAACCAATTTATCCATATTTTTTTAAGTCACGTTCTGACCATATCACTTATTCGCTCACTCGCAATTCATTCTTGTATGCGACTTATTTTAATTCCATTATTAACTAACACTAGTTAATTCGATTGCCATGTACGAGGGTAGCCGAGATGTATACTCCAACGCCAATCGTACGTACTATCTAAATAGTCAGATGTCGTAACAACAAACTGATCAGTTCGATGGCTAGCCTTGCACATCAAACTACATAGATGAGAAAAAGTTCACACCCCATACTTTTCATCAGCAAACTCGACACAACTTACTCAGTCGATGACCTTATCGATAATATGATCATACCACTACAAATATAACAGAACATTTATTGAGCGAGGTCTCAAAATCCGTCAACGTTCAAAATACAGTGGTACGAAATATAACGCTACACAAAGTAAGGAAGCACGTATATATCTTGGCTTCAATATTTTAATTTTTAAATGGAGGTTGACGGTGGTTTCTTAGTCTCCTGTCGAAAAGAAATCTATGCCTACAAACTAACTTACACTATCTCCTAATACTTTCGAAGCCAACTGAACATTGTGATCTGAGATCAGGAATCTAGAAACCTTCAGCGACAAATTTTCTTAAATGTGGAGTCCTCTACCGTGGTTGAAATTTCAAAACAAAGTATTCTGAAGTATCTAGATGACAATCAAGCTTCCTTATTATAACAATCTGCTAATTCTCAGAGTTAAATAATTGGACAAAAGCAAAAGTAAATCAAATTAAAACTTTCCTTGAAATAATATAACAAACAACCATTCTTACCTTGGGTAAAGCGAATTAGAAGCATATTAATCAAGAGTCTAGTTAAATGCTATGGTGTGAACGAAGTAAGGTTACTGAAAATCCATCTTCTTGAGGCGAACGAGAATTTCGTGAAACGAACTAAGAGAAGAAACTAATAAAGTAATTGATAAGAAATGTAGAAACCAGGAGGAAAAAGGCAATGAACAGTTTTTAACACCTATAGAACGTGTTTACAGTCTTGGTTAATTCAATACAGTATATCTACATGAACGCCATCATTTCAAAGCACTCGGTAATCACCGTAAGGTAAATTACCAAAGGACAGTTACTCTGGTGTGGCATTACGCTGTTTGTACTGCGAATCTGTTCTTCTCGGATTCATGTCGTGACTGGTTAGACCACAGTCCATTCTAGAGATTCATTCAAGAGGAAACTTAATATTCATGGACGTACTAAGGGATTGGCTACTTCTTAGTAGTTGCTATCCTAACTTTAACCACAAACCTCAATATAACGCTAATGAAACAACCAGAAAATTGCATGGGAGCTGTTGGTTCCAGTAGCACTACTGCCAACAATCAATTAAGTCTTTCAACCCCCAAAAACATGCCAAACCTCAAAAATCTGTTGTCGCGGCCCATATTGCAGAAAAATACTTCGGATGTCTTCATAACTTTGAAACAGTTTTCGTATCTATAACAAATCAAATAGTTAATTTTAGCTTGTTACACGGGTGTTGCATATTGAATATATAAAAATCGTTATTCGACCTTTACGTTACACCAAGGTTAGGTATTAGAGGTTATATCTAACACACTCCCAACGCTTTCATGTAATGTTTTCATGGCACAAAAATTCGGTGAATCTATAATTTACGGGAGACCTCTGAGCGACATCCAAGTGACCTTGAGAGTGTCCACCTAATAAATACTACCACATGAGGTTTATGAACATTGGTTCCAACCAATTTGAGGGATTAGAATTATGATCTAATGTTATTGAATCATGTTAATAATTAGATTTAGGATTCTCATAACGAACTGATATCAGCTAAAATCTCTAAGATATGTTCAGCCAGTTGGATGAATGTATTTCGCCCCAAGAACCGAGACCTGCTATTTTATACGTGATTGGTTCATCCATAAATTATAGTATTGCGGAAAATTCATTTTTATATCGAAATGTTTGCAGCTGACTGTATTTGTGCTTCATATATGGACCAGACGTCTCAACGTGATCATTTGCTAGTAAGGTTTGAAACTTACTTCGCATCTAAACCCCAATTTCATATGTCACTCAATAGTTTCCGGAATGACACACCTTCTCCCTTTTTAAAGCTCTGTCTTTAAACCGGTATGGCGGTCATTAGGTCCAGATGGTCTTGTTAGCTCCTCCAAAACGGATAAAATTTTCCCCGAATTGGGCACCTTTGTACTAGTCAGAAGGCTTTATTAGTCCGCTAAAATAAATTACGTTTCTCAAGCTACCAAGGTTTTTAAATGCATAACTTTTGTATAAATGTATAAGAGCTTTTCATCCGGCATTCTCAAAAACCGGTCAAGTCTACATTATGATAATTCGTCGTGCTCAATCACTAAATAATTGTATTTATTTAAGTGAACATTCGTTATAATCTCCTATTACCTCCGAAATGATTTTAAATATTCACAATAATCCAGCTTATAGTGCCTAATAGGTAATGAGCTTTTTTATTCCACAGATGACCATAATTTTAGCGTATGAGTGAAAAAGCATCGCGATCTATTAATATATTATTAAGTGCTATGGCACATTAATCTATCACTTGTCCGTGTACTCTTTTTTAAGCTGTGGTTTCTGTTTAAAAACGAATGGTGGTATCCAATTTCTCAACTCCTGATTGAGACAGGATCGAAACCAGTGTCAGCAATTAAGAGTTAGATCATTTGACTACTGGTCTATCACTACTCCGGAGGACTTGGTGGCTAACTATTGTGACTGGAACAAGTTACTGCGTTGTCTACTTGTTATAACCATAAAATACTGCCTTTCACTGCTTGTTACGATTGAATAGAGAATGATACAGATCGATATAAGAATGAAAGTGAAGCTGCACAAACAATTGATCTATTTTAGCTGTAGACCAATCATAAACCACAACATTAAAGACACATCACATTTGCCATTCAGTTATCTGGTGGAATTCAGATGGATAGGACAGGATAGTGGTTGACACTAATTCATCATTAATTTAGTATCTGTATGCATTTTGCGGTGTCAACTGATTATCTATTTCAACTAGTAAATATAACTAGATTACTAAATTACGTACTCGTTCCTTCCTGACACTAATGTAGCATCGTTTTTAACAGCTTATAATAAAGAATATACGTGTTTAACATTGGAAGTACGCTTATTATTTGTTATAATCTAGTTGCAATAAGGACAAAAAAAACGTCAGGATGCATAGTGAATCTATGTTTAGCAGTGAGACATTAGAAAGCATGACAATATACAATCGTGAATTTAAGTTGAGCACTAATTAAAACTAAATGGGAGTTTTGAAATGTGTCGCGCAACTACCGATACAAGATACTGTATCAGTGCCTGTGTGTGAGTATCATGTGACTTTGGTGTGCACTACATAAAATGTGATGCTTCTTATGTAGAGCGTTTTGCTGTATTTATAAATTAAGTGTAATTTTTTACATTGCGCTGCACAAATGTAACTTAATAGTTCAAATTACTATGTAGTTACTAATACTGGACAGTTTTCTAGAGTAGAATAAGTAACGTTGTAGTTCTTATTCAAATAGCTTATAAATTATTTCAAGCCAAACATAATTCTCATTTTGTGATAGGTTTCTAAACAACATTATGTTCCTTTGGATTAATGATTCCTTTGATATTTGCAGAATTTTTCAGTTTATCAGAAAAGTGTCAAGCGAAATTAAACTAGTAAATTCTATTGAAGTGGATCTTTCTTTTACGGGGAATACGGTTTGATGTTTTAAATTAGCATGATGTACTTTATACGAGCGCTCGTAAAAATCTGAAAGACGTTTAACAGAACACTTATGTTTACTTCGAGTTTCTCTAAGTTATTACTGTCAGTTCTGAAAATATTCCAAAACATATAATTACATCACTGGGGCTGCAAACTTTTACAGTAACCTAAAAATAGTTATTTGTGAAGTCATTTTGTTTATCTTTGTCGTTGCTTTACCATGCACATCAAATTTCTTTTGGATTTTAGTTTTCTAAAGATCACTGTATGTCGACATTCAAATTTTACCATAATGTTCTGTGTACATTCACCCGAAAATATGCTAAAAAAGGAAAAGCAAGTTAGTTCTAAATTGACTTGTTCCATTTCTTTAGCCAAAGGGGTTGCCGCTGTCGCTAAAATACGTGAAATTAATGTGGAGACAGACCCAGAGAAAATTGTAAACTGCTGCTGTATTAATTATAGGATAGGTGAACAACCTATTCCACTAAAGCCAGATAAGTATGAATTTTTTCATAATTATTCCCCGTAGTGAGTATCCGGATTGGCTCTGGAAATTACGGACAGAGAGAGGTCCTATCCCTCTTAATGAGGTTGATAAAAATTCCTACTATTATTGGAGACGAATTAGAAAAATGAACCGTAACCTTTTCAATAATTTGGCTTCCGTGGATGGGTGGCATAGAAAGGATCACCGGTCGTTTGAAAACCATGCCCTTCGGTTTTATGGTGACTTGTACTTAGCTGTTAGTGAGTGGTCTAATTCAAAAAAACTACTTGAAAATAAAAATTGATATATACCATCTTACATTTACACAGCACGCCCAAGCATGATTTTTATCTGCAAAATAAGTTGCAAGTCACCTGATAATCAAGTGGAAACTTTATTTGGCCAATTTGTTACGTTCAGTGATGGCTTTTAAAATCTTTAGTAATGAATTGTGACGTATCGTAGTGTTTTCCGTCACTTTCCTATGTGTGAGTAACTATCATTTCTCAGTAAAATATACCTGTTCATAGTTATTAGTAGAACAGTTAGCCTACAATAATCGTCTTGACCCACTACACAACAACTCCAACAGATCGTGTATTGTATGTAAGGATCACCAACTAAACTATCTTAACAATTAGGACTCAACAGATATTGTAATACTAGTTAAGGATTTAAATTTATAGATCAGGTATCTAAACACAAAAAGGCCATTTGGGAAGCCCATAGTAACAATTTATTTCCGAACAGGATAGTAAAAACCGTCTCCTACGGCCCCGCGCACATAAAAGCTTATTTTTAATCAATAATCAATCGTCGTCTATAGAATACGAGGATTTCTGCCTGTGCAAATTAGATCTGGACTCATTACAGTGAGTTAGCTCGTGGGTTTATGACTTGGAAAATCGTCGTAATGGAAAATTTTCAGCGTACCGACTCACGTGTTTATCAAACTACTCTAGGCTCAAGGATAATTTTTAAATCATTAGTGTTTATATGGGCGACTGATTGGTGGATATGGAGGATCCACCTGGGAGAAGTTAGACAATCCTGATTTCAAATCTATAGTGCACATGGGCTCCAGTATCTTGAAGGAACAAAAGAGATATGAACCTATTGTTAGTCACTGGCTACCATGGGCCTGCATCTCCTGATGTTGCTTCACCACTTTGTGGATTAGATTTCTGTGGCCCCCTAAGGAAACCACCTGCCTCGGCTTGGGAATTCGGACAGTATCTCAGCCCTCACACAAATCGAATGATGAAGTGTAGCGCATATATATTTGGTACTTTCTTTTACCAATATTTTTGTGTTCAACTAAATAAATGGTCAAATGATTTGATTTACAAGACGCGCTAGTAGCGAAAAGATCTACTTAAAATTGTGCAAAATGCATTTATAAACACTAAACTTCTTTCGACTTCATGCAACCTCTTGGCGACTGACAGTCGATTCTGGGGGATACTTTATAAAACAGTGGGTACAATTCCCTTATTTGGAGCAACCAAAAAAGATTTTTTAATTTAGCAATCGCCTAAGTAACTCTGACTGAAATTTTCTTTCTTTCGAAGATAACTAGTTGTTCAACAGATTTGTAATCTGTAAAGAACTTCATCTACTCAAAAGTTATATATTACTTGGTGGAGGTCGCCAAATCTCTGTTTCTCTATTGGATGACAGAGATATTCTGATTCAACAACTTACCGAGCTATTCAGAAATTGGCGGTGAACTGCTAGTGCTTAACGATTCTAGATTAAATCCCTTATCTTACTCAACTTCACAAAGAGCCTGTGTAACGTACGTGAAAATTATCAGGGTATAATTCCATGGCTAATCACGTCTAAAACATTGACTTTCGTTATACTTCCCAGATGTGTGGAAGTCGTTGAGGACTAATTGGTGAGGAGTAGTTCGGCTTTCCTCTGTATCATTGACAGGTTGATCTTGCGTGCCACTAGTCGTTATTCTTGATACCTGGCTCCCTTGGACTCTAGAGGAAACTGCTCTAATCATCTGTTGATGACGGATTTACTTGAAGTGTCTAATAACATCGTATATTTTATACGGAGACAGATTATGTAAGCGCGTCTTTTCATTATCCAAAAATGGCAATAAGGTTGACTGTAATTGCCTTATCTCGCCATTGCCGTCCAAGTTCATAGTGTCTGGAAATTCTCGTGCCTTATTGTGAGTTCTCATATTCTTGAGTAGAATTAAATCCGTGTTAGCAGTTGTAAATAATAATATGAAAGTATTGATTTCCGGAAAACCAAATTTCTTACGAGTTTGACAAATAAAACGAGCTTATAAACAGAGATGGTTTGTGTCTAGCATTGGAATCCAGGACGCACATTTAGTTTTGGACATCAATAAGAAGATTGAAACAACCTATACAAATGAATTGTACCTGGCTGTTGTGAAAACACTAATTCCGTCCAACCACAGAATCTTCTGAGGTAATCTTTTGTTTTCTACTAATGTGAAACTGTATTGTAAAGCCTAGACAATTGTCAGTTGTTTCTGTGTTGATTTTTGTGGTACGTTCTGAAGGCTTTTTTCATAAAGCCAGGCTATTTCTTTGTATGTTTGTCCCTATGCTCATCTTTATAAATGTCAGAAGTCCTGATATTATATTCATCAGTTCAGTGTAAATGTCAGATCATTTCCTAGTGTTTGTCCACATATAGCGCTATTTATTGCGTAGTATTCCTAATAATCCGGGTTACAATATGTACTTTCCGCATTACTATTTTATTCGTACTCCTCTGTATGCTATAAATTTTTCACTATCTTAGTAGTCACATTATGTTGTTGGAAACTAATTTTCATTTATTTTTATTGTGATTAGTACAAGTGAAAGTTTAAAAATTAATAATTATGAGTGGTATGGGTATAGATAAATTTATACAATCATGTCAAGATGTTTAAACATGATGATAAGAGTTGTCCGTGGTTTATAGGTTGGTTTTGTTTAAGTAAACTCAAACAGAGCAATGTATAGTTTCCAAGTAGGTTAACTAGAAACATCCTCTAGTTTCTAAACTCTCTAATTGGCCTACAAATATTACGTATTTAAGAAATCAAACGCCTCAGATTTCTATTCATAAAATAACTATCAATACTTAGTAGTTTTTCTGACATCGAATTTTAAACTATGTGCCAATGTATCTAAAACAATCAGCTTCCGACTAACTTATTAGTGGAGCGGATTTCACCACGGAATCTACTTCACATTCTTAGTGCTTCTCGAATTTTGAGAACTACATGTATACAAAATCGACTTTGATAATTTATATGGTATGTATTACCCTCATTTAAACCACATAATATTTTACATTGATGGTCGTACTACTTATTTAAATTACTACTAGTAGTGTAGAGAAATGTATTCTCAGTTTCATTGGGTTGCTTAGAAATTTCGAACCCTATCCACATTACTGAAATAGTATTTCCAAGTTCATCTAATCTAATTAACGGAGTAAGCTATTTTCTATCACTTTGTTTCCTTGCGTATGTGCCTAGTTTATTTCTCAGGTTGATGGCACCAATGAAATACGATCTACAAAGCAGTTAGATGGTAATGTCTCCTACGTCTGCGTAAATGAACCAGCTAAACGTTAGAAGCACTCATTATGGCTGAACCAAACGACATGTTGCTACATGAGTTACAGTCTGAGCCTTGAATCCCATCTGACTGATTTTGAAAACAATCTGGCTTAGGGGAACTGGTTAACTTCAAAATAGATATATTTTGGTAATTAGCTTGCTTCTGGATAGAATAATTTGTTATTTTCAATGTTTCTGCTACTTGTCCTTGACGGAGAAAACGTATATGGACCTAATAAAAAGTCATGGAAATGACTGTTAAACGAGAATATAAGTTTTTAAATCACTACCCAGTTCCTCCCTATTATGCTTCGGTTTCATTTTACTTTTTAAGGTTTAAAGACGTATCCTACAATCATGTAGACGTATTTGTCGTTTTACATCTTTAGTTATTGATTATCCACAGCTGATAGTTCGATTTATTAAGAGGTTTAGAAAGACTTGGGGCAGAGTGAAGGAAGTTGACAACCGTATGATTGAGGAACAGACCTATTGGATATCTAATGGTTAACTTTGTAATATAGAACTGAATCCCAGACTGATCAGTAATTGTGAATCGAATTCCGATAAAGCTCAATTATTTCTACGACTAGATATTTCAGGTTTGTGTTGCAAGTACATAGTTTTTTGTGCGACAAATGTTGTAGAGTGAAATTGGAAACCAGTTTTCACAGGCAAAATTGTCTGATTCATATTGACCAAAGGTCAGTGTAAACAAATAACATTGTTTTGTTTTAGGTATGTAATTTATATGAATTTGCTTGTAGAGAAATTGAATATAATGAGCGTAATTATTGTCGAGAATAGAGAATAATCTATCTAATCTTTTCATGTCAGCCTTGTACGGAGCATGATTTGACCATTACTATTTGTAATTAGTGCCTCAAATCTGACTCCGGTTAATTATTCACGTATCTTGTGTTTAATTTCGCCATTGAACATCGGGGCGTAACGTTAGTACAAAATGTAATCCGAAACCTGAAATACGAAATATGACGAGGATACGTCTAGCTCCGCCTGTGGCTCTTCCACGATTACAATCAGTCCCAAGCCCAGGTAAAAAGGGAGGATTAGACATTGAGTCAGGAACCTATACCGTACAAAACAACCCTGCTAAAAATACCGCCAACCAGAACAAATAAATTAAACCATTTAAACTCTTTCCTGACAATTGAAGGATCCTCTTTCAGAAGAATTATCACGCCTCATAGTGAAAGCCGATATTCTTTGGAAGTCCGGAGGCTGATACCTCTTCTGACAACCGGAAGAACTGTTAACATTGGTTCATGGAGTGTCTGAACATTGATGATGGGTCCAACAGTTCCGACAACCGACTATGAGGAATAATATACTTGATATGCTTTTTGCAATCAACACAGATTCTATCTCAACTCGTATCAAACATGAGTTTTTGAGGAGTGATCACAGAGTAGTATTGAGTTTCTGTGATGTTTAAATAAATCAATGACTTCTTCGTATTGATGACTGTTGTAATTTTGAATTCCAAATACAATACATTCGTTCGAGTTCATCTGGTACTTCTTGATTAAATTGCGTTATTCCTGGGATTACTAGTTCATACTACAATTAAAATACTTCTAATTATCATATTGGCGTCGCGATGGAGCCTGCGATACAACAGTTGGACATTCATTCAACTTCTGAAGCTTGTGAGGATTACCTTGAAAGGTTTGAGA